CTCTCTCTCTCTCTCTCTCTCTCTCTCTCTCTCTCTCGCTCGCTCTCTCGCTCTCTCGCTCTCGCTCTTGCTCTCCCCAAAGCAAGTTCGGATCAATAATTTTATACTTTTCCTAACACAAAATGATATTAAATTTTCTCAGTCACTTATAATCATCCACTCTGAGTTAATATGTATGCTTTAAAAAATCACTTGATAAGAAATATAAAGGTAAATAAGAAACAAAAGTAATGAGAAAAGGAAGTCAGTCTAGAATGAATCATCATGCCTCTACATCCATAGGAAGTGATGTCATGGACTGATGTGCTGCACCCAAAATCTTCCCACGTGGTAAGGGAGGATGGGGTAAGTGGATTGACTTCCCCCTTTTTTTAAGAATTAGTCACAATCTGTTCTTTTCCACATTGGCCCTGTGCTATGTTATTGCATGCAAGTAAGTGAAAGCAAGGCTATAATATGAAAAGTATGTCTAGGTAATAGAAATAGAAATTGTTTCATATTCATCAACCAGGCACTGGTCATTTTAACATGCTGTCACTGGTTGGAGTCCACAGGTAGACAGGACGTTGTTTTCAGGAAGGGTGTTGGAAAGCGGATTACTACCAGAGGAAGAAGTCCTGGTGGCATAGTGGCTTACTCTTTGGGTTGCTAACTGCAAGGCAGCAGTTAAAACTCCTTGGGAGAAAAATGCGACTTTCTACTCCCATGAAGAGTTACAGTTTCAGAAACCCACCGGGGCACATCTCCTCCCCATCGGGCTGCTGCGAGTTGGGATGGACTCAATGGCAGTGTGTGAGTTGAGATCAGGAGGAGAATGAAAGAATCAGGATGAAAGCGAGAGTGTCACTTCCAATCCATTTGCAGCAAAGGGAGTCCACCATCACAGGGAGCTCAGACCACGGGGTTCCCTTGCAGAATTGTCATAATTTTGATGGAAGGGAGAATACATTTATACATCGGCACTGACCAATGTGAGGTTAAAGTTTCCAGTTGAGATACATATATATATATCTCCAAACCAACCAGAATTCCCCCCCCCAAAAAGCTATGTATTTTTTTAACCAAACAACATTATCACTTTCAAAGTACTCTCCATTACACTTAATACATTTGTCAATACCCATTGAAAATGGGGTGGAGACCCAATGACCATCTGTAAACAATTGGACATCCCCTCACAGAGGGGTTATAGGGAAGAGATGAGCCAGTCAGGTGCAGTATAGCGCCGATGAAACACACAACTTTGCTTTAGTTCTTTGGTGCTTCCTTCCCCCACTATCATGACCTTAATTCTATCTTACAAATTGGATTAGACCAGAACATGCACACTCCTACAGATGAGTCTGAAACATAGGGAATCGAGCGTAGATCAACCCCTCAGGGTCACCAATGGCAGTAAAGATACCAGGAGGATTACAGGAGGGTGGGGGGAGAAAGGGGGAATAGATCACAAGGATCAACTTATAACCCCCTCCCTGAGGGACAAACAACGGAAAAGTGGGTAAGGGGTGATGGAGGACAATGTAAGATATGAAAATAATAATCTATAACTTATCAAGAGTTTGTGAGGGAGGGAGGGTGGGAGAGGGAGGGGGGAGAAATGGGGAGCTGGTATCAGAGGCTCAAGTGGGAAAAGAATGTTTTGAAAATGATGATGGCAGCATATGTGCAAATGCGCCTGACTCAATGGATGAATGTATGGATTGTGATAAGAGATGTAAGAGCCCCCAATAAAAGTATTTAATAATAAAAAAGTACATTCGTGAAATCTGTGATCTCATTCTTGGAAACATTTTTCAAACTCATCTGTTTGAATGGCTGGCAGCACCTCTCTCATTTTTTTCTACACCTCTTTTACGTTGTCTAATTGCTGTCCTTTTATGTCCTTCTGCATTCTCAGAAACAGAAAGAGGTCACATGAAGCATCCGGTGAGCAGATGGGTGGGGCAAGAGAGGCATGCTGTTTTTTGCCAAAAAATGGCACCCTGAGATGGCTGTGTGAGCAGATGCATTGTTGTGATGGCAAAGCCAGTCCCCCTTCTGCCACAAATCAGACCTTTTTTTTGTTGCATACTGTTAGGCAATCTTTTCAGAACCTCTCTAGAAAGCTTGATGAACATCTGACCGGGTGGAATGAACCCTAAATGCACTATGAGTTGACATTTTTATTCATTTGGGAAATTGTCCAGAATGAAGTTTGTCATCAACTGACATGTCATCTTTTTAAAATGAGAAAACCACTCATAATTGAGGTTTTTCCCCATAGGGCTCTCCATGTAAGCTGTGTTCAACATCACAACAGTTTCTGTGGCATTTATCCTGAGCAGGAAACAAAATTTCACAGTTGCACGCTGTTCTCTTAAATCAACCATTACAAAAAATGGGGTTCGAGAGAACCAAGACTGCTTTTCCAAAAACATGCACTGTGACCAGAGAGAACCTTCCCAGGTGACCACTGGGTGCACTAACTCAGAATGAGTTGTTTGATGCTCGCCTAGTAGGACAAATGCTTACAAAAGCTCCACTCCATCCAGCACAATTACATTTGGGGGTGGGATGGAGGGGGGTGCCCCCTTGCATATATATATAACAGATGTAAAATATTGACACTGATTTGGAGTTTGCCTCCCAAAATGGCATTATCAAGCACTATATTGTGCTACCTTATCTGAACAAAGCAAAGTAAATCATGCTTCTGTATTACCAATTTCATCTAGATAGTTCTAGGTCTCAGAGCACTTCTGAACCCCTCTAACCCCTTTCCTTTGATTTCAGCTGTCTTAACTTGATTTCCTGAGTTTTAACATTGTGAGTGAAGTAAAGGTTTCAAATAATACCTTTAAAAAAAATCATTTTATTGGGGCTCGTGCAAATCTTATCACAACCCATCCATCGATTGAATCAGGCATATTTATACATATGTTGCCTTCATTATTTTCTAGACATTTCCTTTCTATTGAGCCCTTGGTATCAGCTCCTCTTTGTTTTTTAACCCCCGCCCCCACCCTCATAAACCCCTAATTGATTGTACATTGTTATTATTTTTAGCTTTCACACCGACCACTGTCTCCCTTCCCCCATGTTTTCTGTTGTTATTCTCTTTGTAGAGGGGTGTATGGTTATGTGTCGATCTCATTGCAATTGGTTCCCCTTTCTCCCTTCCTTTCCCCCTCTTTCCCCTACCCTTCTGGTATCACTCTTCCCATTCCTGTTCCTGGATTCTGTGTGTCTTGAGCTCCCATCTCTTATCTATACCTGTGTACATGTTCTGGTCTAGTCTGAACCGGGAAGCAGCTCTGGGGTCATGGTAGTGGGAGGTGAGGCAGCCTCAAGGAACCAGAGGAATATAGTGTTTCATTGATGCTTTACTGCACCTAGTGACTCATCCCTTCCTTGTGGCCCCTCTGTGGGGAGATTGTTCCACTGTCTACAGATGGACTTTGGATTTCTGCTCCAGGCCCCCGCGTTCTCACCAATATGTTTCTGTTTGTTATGTGTCTGCTGATGTCTAGTACCCGGTCCCTATAGCTCCTCATGTTCGCACCAGTGGTGTGCTTCTTCCAGGTGGATTTGTTGCTTCACTGCTGGCTGGCGGCTTGTGTAACTTCAAGCCCTTAAGACCCCAGATGCTATATATTTTTATATCTGGGCAATATCCATGGAATAATACCTTATTTAGTCACATCTAATGCTTTTATTCTGTTGTCTTCATCCTGGGAAACAGAGAGATGGTGGTCCAGGAGAAGTCCATGCAAGAAGGATTGCAGAAAAGATATGTTGCAGCCATGGTACTGAACGCAATAAAGTCATTCAAGTGTGAGTCCTAAGAAGGGAAGAAAGAAATGATGCTTCATTTAACAATGACAATGGATCCTTTTTTGTGAATGTTTTCAAGACAGCCAAAAGAAAAATTCATCTCAAAGTAAATAATTAAAATATCAAGGTTTTATCACCAAAATACTTTTCTGGAGGTAAATAATGACTCACTTGTATCTGATGCTGAATCTGACCAGAAGATCAGTGTTTCAAAGCATATTATCAGAAAATCTAGTGAACCCCAAAGATCAATAAGCTTTAAAGTCAACCTATGGGAACAATTGTGAATGGAGTGTTTGTAATACATAAGGTAAGTTCCTAAATATAATTTTGTATTGGTTATTAAGAATAATTTATTCTCCACGCTGAGCTTGAAAGAACCTTAGGAATCATTCATTATAATTTTTAATATATGAAAAGCAAACAAACACAGGAAGAAATAATGTACCACAAACTAATGATATGCCCAAACTCAGACACAGTAGAAGTGTTTTTACTGTCAAGAAACTATCACAACCATATTTCAACTTCTTTTTAGCCTCCATAAAAACTATTTTATGAACAAATAATGTTATCTCTCTAGGTTACTTTTGTACTCTATACATGGACTTTGTATTTTAATTGACTACTGTTGTGGACCACCACTTGTCTAGCAGTTTGTCCTACTGTGGTGGCTTGTGTGTTGCTGTGATGTGGGAAGCTGTGTCACTGGTATTTCAAATGCCAGCAGGGTCATGGGAAGAGAACAGGCTGCGGCAGAGCTTCCAGACTAAGAACAGACTCTGAAGAAGGAATGGACTGCGCACTTGAAAGAATGAATTTTTGAAAACCTTATGAACAGCATTTGTGTTAGGCAGGGTTCTCTAGAGAAACAAAACCAGGACACCTGTGATGATATAGATAGATAGATAGATGATAGATAGATAGATAGATAGATAGATAGATAGATAGATAGATAGATTTATACAGCAACAAGAAGAATAACAGCTAATTAGTCCATACAGCAGTACAGAGGGCTCAGTTCAACTCAGTTTTGTGGAATAGTTAATATACTGGAAGGCCTTCAACTCACTTGGGCTGCTGGATCCAAAGTCAAGGAAGCAGGCAGCAGAGTCTTTCCTCGGGCAAGGCAGGCAGAGTCTGCCTGAAGGCAGCCGATAGCAGGGTGGGTCAGCAATTTTGAGACCATCTCAAGAAGAGATTTGACCCATTGAACACTAATTACAGAAGACCTGATGATCTGTAGCAGGAGATCAAGAGCATCGTTCATGGAGAAAGTGAAAAGTCATTAAAAATCCAGGAAAGCAAGAACAGATCTAAGTGTTAGAAGAGACTCTGAAACTTGCTCTTAATCATAGAGCAGCTGAATCAAGTGGAAGAAGGATGATGTCAAAGAGTAAATATACAATTTCAAAGGGCAGCTAGAGAAGACAAAGCTAAACATTATAATGAAATATGCAAAGTTCTAAAATGAGAAAATCTAAAAGGAAGAACATGCTCAGCATTATCTGAAACTGAAAGAACTCAAGAAAAAATTCAAGCCTTGAGGGATATTGAAACTTTCATGGGCAACATACTGAATGATGGTGGAAGCATCAAAAGAAGATGGAAAGAATACACAGTCACTCTACCAAGAACAACTAGTAGACATTTCACCAATTCAAGAGGTAGCATATGAACAATGACCAATGGTACTGAAAGAAGAAGTTCAAGCTGCATTGAAACTAGTAGCCCAAAACAAGACTCCAGAATTCATAGAATATCAATTGAAATATTTCAACAAGTTGATAGAGCACTGGAATCACTCGGTCATCTCTGACACGAAATTTGGGAAATGGCCATTTGGCCAACTGACAGGAAGAGATTCATATTTGTACTCATTCTAAAGAAAGATGACTCATCAGGAGGCTCAAATGATAGAACAATAACATTAAGATCACATCCAAGTACAATTCTGCAGAAGAGCAACCAACAATGGTTCCCTCAGAGCATTGACAGGGATCTGCCAGAGGTTCAGACCAGATGAAGATGTGGAATGAGGGATATCATTGTTAATTTCACATGAATTTTGGCTGAAAGTAGACTACCAGCAAGATTACTTCTGTTTTTGTTTTTTCTCTTTACTATGCAAAGGCATTTGGCTGTGTGAATTATAACAAATTATGGATAGTGTTGTAAAAAATGAGAATCTCAGAACACCTAATTGTACTGATGCAGCACTTATACATGGATCAAGAGACAGCTGTGGGAACAGAACAAGGGGATATGGCATGATTTAAAATCCAGAAAGTTGCGTGTCAATGTTGTATCCTCTCATGATACTTATTCAATCTGTGAGCTGAGTAAATAATTAAAGAAGCTGGATTATATGAAAAAATATGTGGCACCAGTCTTGAAGGAAAGCTTATTAACAACCTGCAATATGCAGATGAAATAACCACTTGCTTGCTGAAAGTGAGGAGGACTTGAAGCACTTGCTGATGAAGATCAAAGATTGCAGCCTTCAGTATGGCTTATAATTCAATGTAAAAATAAATCCCAAATCCCCACAACTGTTCCAATATGTGACATAATGATAAGTGGAGAAACAATTGAAATAAAGTATTTGCTCTTGCTTTGATCCACAATCAATGGTCATGGAAGCAGTAGTCAAAGGGTCAAAGGATGCATTGCATTCATCCACTGGACAAGAATTTTTTAAAGTCTTGAAAAACAAGGCTTTTACTTTGAGTTCAGTATTAGGTTTATGGAGTGGGGGAAGCCAGCCCCCCCATTACTACTACCCACAGGTTCATTAATGCACAATTGTATGATATATATATATATATATATATATATATTATATTAAAGTCACCGAGAGCATGAGAGATGAAGAGGTATTGCAATGATGCAGTCAGACACGTTACATGGTAGCATTGCTCACCTCAGCCCAGCTTGGTGGTTCACGTGGAGAGAGGGGGAAGGGAAGGAGGTCAAGGGAACAGGGGATCAAGGATGGGAGAGGAGAGAGGGAAGAGAGGGGAGCAACCAGCAAGAGAACCCAGCAGAGAGAAGTCAGAGAGAGCGAGCTCTATTGCTAGCCCAGGCCTATATACCTTTGGGGCGGGACGATGCAAGCCCACTAATTATAGGTGAAGACATACATCACAGGAAGGGGTTGCACTATAGGTTACACAGTAATGAGAGGGGGTGGTCTAGGGACATACACACAATAGGAAGAGGAGGGATTGGGGGTATACTTGTGGCAAGATGGGCAGATCCTAGATTTAGGATGGCAGCTTAACTTTGACCTGTTCCCTGGGTATCCATAGGAACCATTAGCAGTAGGGTGTAAACCCCTCCTACAGGAACCAAGCTAATGGTCCCAAGCTTTAGCTCATTGTCCCCAGCAGCAGGGAGCAGGCCCACCCCTTGGTCTGGCGACTGACTATCTTCAGGGAGGATGACCTCCCCCCACACTTTGAGGACTAAATTACAACGGACACAAACCATGGTATTTTCAGTTTCCTTACATGCTTGTGAAAGTTGGAGATTGAATGAGGATGACTGATGAAGAATCGATGTACTTGAATTATGGTGCTGGTGAAGAATATTGAAGTTACCATGGACTTCCAAAAGAATAAATTTATCTGTCTTGCAAGAAGTATAGCCAGAATGTTCCTTTTAGGCCTGGATGGTACACCTCCATCTCACATACTTTGGAAATTTTATCAGGACAGACCAGTCCTTAGGTGGGGACATCTTTCTTGGTAAAGTAGAGGGGCAGGGAAAAAGAGGAAGGTCCTTAACAGGATGGATTGACACAGTGGCTGCAACAATGGCTTCAACTATAACAGTTATGAGGATGGCGCACGACCAGGTGGTGGTTAGTCCTTTTGTACAGAGGGTCACGACGAGTTCGAACTGACTGGATGGCACCCAACATCACTGTGGAGCCAAAGTAATTGTAGTTGAATACTAAATATTAGACCAAATCCGTTGATCTGGAACACTGATAATTAAGGGAGGGTTGAAGAACTCTGATTAACGAAGAAAAGTGTTTAGCATAAGGATAGTTAATAGACATGAGTAATAATAAAATATTATGAGTCTGGGCCTCTGGGAAGTTACACTTGTGTGTCTGTTTTCCGTTTGGAGAGAATCTGCTTAATATGCATCTAGGGGTCTTAGTATAAACTGCACTGGGCTAGGGATAGTGGGAGAGGAATGGACAGAGATAATCTTTCTTTTCAAGGAAAATTCAGAAAAAGGGTCTTTGATATGAAGGCTATGCTTTTTTGCCCTGATTCTCAGTCTTCAATATGGCAACCTTCCACAAACATATAATCAACCAGCCTCGAAAATTAAACCTCAAGTATTATTAGCTCTCAGGTGAGAACATCAGTACTATGTTCTCTTTTGACCAAGTTTTGATTTTGAATTATTTTCTGTCCTTGATTCCTTACTCTTGTTCACACTCTTTACTAGGTTGTACATCATTGACTTATGCCTTTCCTGCATCGTTGCTTTAAATAACTTTCTCCTAACTTCAATGCCTTTCTATTCCTTGGCTTCTCTGGCATTTGACCTTGGAGACGTCCCATATTTTACATCTACTCTTTGCCGCCTACTGGGATTATCCTGGCCTCATAAAAGAAAGGAGCTTGAGTCTGGAAAGAGGTTCATGAGGCAAAATTTCAGAGTAATATATTTGTCTCCTCGTTTTGAATTTGCTAGCATGTATCAGATATACAAATTTATCTGTCAGTAGCAAAGCTCCTTTTTTTCAAATAATATTTTGATTGAAGGCTTTTGGAAGTACATCTAATGTTTGATTGATATGACACGCCTTAATCAGATTATCAGAGGTTAGGGGATAATTTTCATAGAACTGAAGGAAGGAATCGCATCTCATTTAACCCGAATGACAACACAAGGATCATGGAAGTAGTAGGGCTTGGATCACCCTCCAAAATCAACTGTAAGGAAGGGGATAAACTTCAAATTACATTCTTTAAGCTGTCAGAAAATGGAGAAAAGTTGCAGCTGAAGTCTGAAGTTCACAGTTTCATTAAGGTGAGAACTGTATGCAGGAAGCTCAGCTCTCTAAGTGGGTGGTATTTTCTGTTCACGTTCAGAAAGCTGGACAGGGCCTACCAAACAGGAGGTGGTATGGGAGACTCAGATATCGAGCACACCTGCTTCTCACAGAATGGAGCAACCTGTCTTTTAGGAAATACACACCCTAGATACACAATTAAGAGGATATGAACTTCAGAAGGCAGATATACAGAGCTATGGTACCCACACAGCTCCACAGAGAGCCCCCTTTTCACAGTGCAAGTTCAATGCAGGACGTTTAATTTAGACAAATCACCCGAACAAGTATACAAAAGTACCCATAGCTTGAATATTCTCTTCTCAAAGCCAATCCCTATTCCCACATCACCACTGCAATTGAGTCCTTTAGACTCACAACCACCCATGAAACAGAGTGGAACCGCTCCTTAAAGTTTTCAAAAGCATACATCTTAACAAAAGCAAGCAGACAGCTTCACTTTCCTCTCTTGCAGCAGATGGTAAATTGGAACTGCCACACTCATCATTAACAGTACAAGGCCTAACCTATTACACCACCAAGTCTCCTTAGCCATTCCTGTGCCTTCTATAAATAGAACTGCTCTAAGTTCCTGTGGACTCATGTTGTTCTCAGTTGCGTCAGATAGACCTGTGCCCCGAGGGTTTTCAATGGCTGATATTCCAGAAACGGATCGCCAATCCTTTTTTCTGAGGTGACGTTGGGTTGGCTCAAACCACACTCTTTTAGTTTAGCAGCAAGACACGTTAACTGTGCCACACAGGATTCTGCACCTAGAAGTACAGTGCCACTGGCCTGGCATAAACCACAACCCCTGCTTTCTTTCACCTTCAAACCCTCTGTCTGCCACGTGGGCTCTTCCCATGGGTTAGTTTCATGTTGACTGTCATCTGCATTTCTGTGTGAGGGTAGGAGCTTGAGGCACCTGCATACATGCCTTTGCTAAGTAGTAGTGCAAACCTCATGCAGGATATTCACTTCACAAGAATGATCTGACCAAACAATGTATTCAGAGGAGGGTGGAGGGGGTGGGGGAGAAAATTTAAAGAGAAGAGGGAAAGAGAGATTCATTTCAAGACAACGGCATTAGTACAAGCAAGGGAGGGTAACTGATTCTTTGCACCTCTATGTTTTACTATTTATTTATTTTATTCAGGTTTTTAAAGCTAAAGGATGAAATGAAACAATTAAGGTCAATAGAATGAAACAATTAAAGTCAATAGAATGAAACAATTAAAGTCAATAGACCTGAACAGCACTGAACTGAAGAATACCTGAAACAGACCCTACCACTACATTGCGTGCGCTCAGCTTATGTGCTGTCTAAGTTCCCATTTCTCAAAAAAAAAAAAAAAAGTAACTCCAAAATCTCAGAGTTTTATCACAATAAAAAAATTTTTTTTTTTCATCCATTCTAGGCTCAAGTCTGATTTAGTTTGGGGTTAAGGCAATTGCTCTGCTCTTTGTAAATATGTAGAGGTACTGTAGTTGTTCAATAATTTTGTGATGGTTGAGTGAATAAAATTATTAATAAAAATAAAACTCAATATGGGCCATGATGGCCAATTTTATGTGTCAATTTAGCTGAGGTATGGTGCACAGTTGTCAATCAAATACTGCTAAGGGTATTTTTAGATATGGTTAACATTTATAATCATTTGATGTTAAGCAAACTGAGTTATCTTCCATAGCACAGGTGGGCCTTATCCTGTCTGTTGACAGCTTTATGAGCAAAATTGGGGTTTTATTTTAAGGAAGAAGGATTCTTCTGCTTTAAGATTATAACATAGATATCCTGGGGAAGTTATCAACTTACCTGGTTCATAGATTTGGAACTCAAATTTCTAGAATTCACACTGGCCTGATCTTTGGACTTTGGATCACTCACTCACTCACTCACTCACTCACTCACTGCTACTGAGTCCATTTCAACCCACAGTGACCCTCTAGGACAGAACATAACTGTGGGTTTCTGAGACTATAACTCTCAAAATACACACAAACACACAGGCACACAACCAAAAATCCTCATTGCTATCCAGTCGATGCCAACTCATAGTGACCTTACCGGGCAGGGTAGAACTGTCCTTGTGAGTGTCCAAGTCTATAACGCTCTCTTTTCTTCTATCCCCAAGACTGGAACTCTTTCGAGGAGTATAAAGGCCCTTCTTTCTACCACAAAGCAGCTGGTGATTTTGAACTGCTGACCTTGTGGGTAGCAGCACAAAGCACACCCACTATATATCTCTCTCTCTCTCTATAGAATCCAAGCCTATTGCTGTTGAGCCAATGTCAACTCATAGTGACCCCATAGACAAGGTTAAAACTAAAATGTCCACATAGGGTTTCCAAGGCTGAATCTCTATACAGAAAGATGGCCACATTATTCACTGTGGAACTGTTCTATAAACAAAGTGTGCTTCATTACGTGTATATGCATTTGTGCATTTGTATATAAATGAATAAAAAGATCAGGAGTCTGAAAGGATACACAGTGTACTGATGATGATGATTTTATTTGAAGAAAAAATGATTTTTTTCTTATTTAACATTATTTGAGAAAATGCTTGTAATAAGAATATAGTTATTAGTCTATGGGTGAATAAAGAATGACTTTTAAGTTTAATTGTGAAATTTATAAGATATGTAAAATGTATGAAAAGGCTTTAATTAAATTCCATGTCTCACCATGCAGCTAGCTGTAAAGAAAGAATATTACCAACAACCTTAGATGCATTTCTTCTCATTTTTGTCATACTGTGATATCCCAGGGATATTTCTTTGCCTTCTGCATATCTTTAAAGTTGGCACAAGAAGGCACAAATCACACTTCTAATATGCATGTGGTGGCAGAAAACATCTGTGTGCACTGCTGTGATCCTCTCTTTGGCCCACACACTTTAAAATTAAGGGAATCTAACTTCTTCTTTTCTCTTTTCCTCCAAGGAGAGGTTATATGATGAAAATTGTAAAATATTAAATGAAGTTGAGGCATGGAATGAAAAGACAAATCTGTAAGTAAAATAACAACACACACAGATACTGTTTTGTATATAGTTTTATTCCTTTCTTTTCTCATTTATAAACATGTTTGCTCTAAGAAGACCACAGATCAAAGGGAAATCAGTAGGATATTAAGGGAAAAAGGCCTTGGACAGGTCACTTAAATGGCTCATTGCCTAACTCTTAATCACCTTACTTACATACTCAAGAATAGGCAATAAGCAACTTTATCAGAAACAACATGAATCTAGAGTCATGGAATGTCTCAGAATATAAACATTATTTATGTATAAGAAAATCTTTCATTTCCAATGTCCAAAAATCAAATTAGATTTTGGTGGAAATATGATATTTTCTCAGGATGAAGTTTCCTAACTGGCTGAGAGATCTTACGATCCTGACAGCTTCATTCAGTCTCTCTGTACTTCAGTTTTCTCTCTATTAGATGAAGAAATTGGATTACATAATGTCTCAGGTGTTTTCAAATTCTGGATTCCCCAAAGGACCAACGTTTCTGGAACATATCTATTAGAATGCTATTCACATAATACTGGAGTAGGAAAATTTAAATATATGTCTGTGTTAGCCTGGGTACTTTAAAGAAACAAATCCACAGAAATCCATGTATAAGAGAGAGTTTTATATAAAGGTTAAGTGTACATCAAGAAAACATCCCAACCCAGTGCTGCCCAAGCCCAGAAGTCCAACATTAACTCATTAGCCCATATGTCCAACACCAATCCACAAAGCCCTCCTCCATCTCACAAAACAGATGCAATGATGCCAGCTGCAGGAGGAAAGCCGAATCAGTGAGTGTGTAAGCATCTCAGCACTAGCAGGGGTCTCCACACAGGTGCTCTAGCACCCAGGGCTGCATCAGGGTAGGTCCATGTGGCTTCTCCTCAGGGTTGTCTTGCAGGAAGTGAGCCTGGCCAGCTGAAGCAGAGAACTGGCTGAGGCAACTGCACCCTGGTCCGACCTTCAGAAAGCAAGAGACCCGAGAACTAGAAAGGCGAGGCTCACTGAGCCATTTATCCCTCTGCCCTTCAATTAACCCATGTATTTACCGGCCAGGTTGGCACAATAAACTAACTACCTCAATGTCTAAACCTTATTCCTGGCATTTAAACCTACTGTCTTAGTTAATGCTGCCACAAAAACAAAATCCCTATAAGCATATGACTTCTTTTGTCTATGTCTAAACCTTATTCCTGGCATTTAAACCTACTGTCTTAGTTAATGCTGCCACAACAACAAAATCCCTATAAGCATATGACTTCTTTTCTCTCTTATAAGTTAGAAGATGACGTAGGCAACACCCCAGGGAAACCTCTTACATCTGATCTTCACTGTGACATGAGTAAGAGTTTTTCATCCCATCCTTATCCCCTTACAACTGATTAGCTGATCACATGAGATTGCATCATGGGGCTGACTACATCATGGCATAACTGCCAAACCACTGAGAATCATGGCCCAGCCAAATGGACAAGTAATCTTGGTGGGCACCATTCAATCCATGACACTATGTGTGCTGCTAAAAGAGCAGCTTGTGTGGACTTCATGCATGTCAGATTAGGAGTGTCCCATACGTGTTCAATGACTAATTTTCCAGAAGTGATGACAAGACACCTCTGAGTGCATAAATCATGTGCATGATCCAGGCACTCTTTTTAAAAAATTATTTTATTGGGGGTCATACAATTCTTATCACAATCCATACATACATCCATTGTGTCAAGCACATATGACCATTTGTTGCCCTCATCATTCTCAAAACATTTGTCTTCTACTTTAGCCCCTAATATCAGTTGCTCATTTGCCCCCTCCCTTCCTCCCTCCCCCCTCCCCCATGAACCCTTCATAGTTCATAAATTATAGTTTTGTCATAAGTTACCCTGTCCGACGTCCCCACGCCCCGCCCTCTTTTCTGCTGTCCCTCCCCCAGGGAGGAGGCAATACTTAGATTCTTGTAATCGGTTCCCTCTTTCTACCCCACATTCCCTTCACCCTCCAGGCCCCTCTCACCACTGGTCCTGAAGGAGTCATCCAGATATCAGACATCAAAGAACTAAAAATCAGATCAGTGGGTGCCCACCTTCCTGATACGATCACTGAAGACAAACGTGTGCATAAGCAAAGGTGGTGAAGAAAGCTGATGGTGCCCGACTATCAAAAGATATAGCATCTGGGGTCTTAAAGGCTTGAAGACAAGCAAGTGGCCAACTAGCTCAGAAGCAACAAAGCCCACAAGGAAGAAGCACAACAGCATGCGTGACCACGAGCTGTTAAAGGGATCAGGTATCAAGCATCAAAGAACAAAAAATATCATTGTAAAGGTGGGTGAGTGCAGTGGAGACTCAAAGCCCAACGGTAGGCAACTGGACACCCCCTTGCTGAAGGGTTGTGGGGAGGAGATGAGCCAATCAGTGTGCAGGGCAGCAATGCTGAAACATATAACTTTCCTCTAGTTCTTAAATGCTTCCTCCCCCACACTCTTATGATCCCAATTCTACCTTACAAATCTGGCTAGACCAGAGGATGTACATTGGTACAGATAGCAACTGGAAACACAAGGAATCCAGGACAGATGACTCCTTCAGGATCCAGGCACTCTTATGTCAAATATAGAACCAAGAAATTTGATTTGAAAGATAATTTTTCTTGATAATTTTGAAGAATAAAGAGATAAAGATAGGCCAATTGAGATGCTGCTTGTCTTATATTTTCCCCTTTACTCACACTGTGCTTACTGATTTCTCGTGGGCCATACTCTTTTCCTTTTCACCCCTTTAAGTCTCTTCTTTCATGCTCACCTTTCTTGTTTAGTATAGCCCTGACCTTTGAGCCACAAGCCCTGGTGTCACTGTTGGTTAAGTATTGTACTGAAAACTGCAAGATTAGTGATTAAAACCCACCAGCTGCTCTATGGGACACTATCCTTTCCCGTAAGGATATACAGTCTAGGAAACCCTATACAGGGTCACTGTGAACGGGGAATGGACTTGACGGGTATGGGTTTAGTCCTTTGAGCTAGTAGCCCTTTTGTGGGTTGAGAGTCTAAAATGAAAGGCCCACTCATGCCCATGAATACTGTGGGTAGCGCACAGCAGGAAAGAGGAAGTAGACAGAGTGCCCCATGTCAGGAGGAGAGTGAAATATTTTGGAAGGATGGAAGGAGGCTTAAAAAGGTATTTCTGATACCATTGCTGTGAAAGTAAGTTTTGGGATGTTGGGATTGAAGGTACCAAGAAATGTAGATATCTACCTGCATGTCCATTTCTGTGTACCTGGATAAGTCAGCATTTATATTTTATCTGCTTGTCTTTCAGTGTTAACTTGGGTAATTGTCCCTAAATGTCTTTCTCTGAATGTGGCAAAAGCATGAACTTTGTCATATAGATCCAGCCACCTCTTTCTGTTGCAGCCAAGATGTGCAATTCACAAATGCCACATGTTTCTGTGTTCTTATGAGCTCAGGGAAATCTTTGTTCCTTTAGGTCTGGTATAGGCTCTTTTGATCTTCTTCTCATTAATATCCCTCCTGTGGCTACTGTTTATCAGAAAGGATTACATGAGTCAATCTCTGAAAAGCCCTTAGGAAAATGTCTCATCCATCTTGAGTCCTCCTACTGACTTCTCAAACAACTTATTGAAAGCAGAACACATTTTTCTTTCCTGGAATCTACTCTTCCTTTAGTGAAAACAACAACAACAACAAACAAAAACAAAATAACAGCAACAAAAAGAAAGCCAATGAAAAAAAACCGGAAAAGCCTATGAATAGCTCCAGGTGTGTGTGTGTGTGTGTTTACCTTTAGGAGTGTTTTCGAGTCTAGTTTGATGGGGGTGCCGCTCTCTGTCTCCGAAGTCTATTTTTGGTATTCCCTGGGGATTTCATCGCTTTGCTCCCCTTGCTGCTCTGTTGCATGCCCTAGTGTTTTGCCCCAGTGTGATGAGGTCAGGTTTGACAATTGCTGCACTGTGTCTCCAGTGTTGTCTCCAGTAGCGTTATGGTTCAGTGAGGGACATCTCGTCTCGTGGTGGGGCTGACCCTATGGTCCTCTCTGTGCATTGTCTGCTCTGAGCAGGAATGTTGTCCTCAGGGCTTGGTGGGCCAGGGTGTGTTCCCCTCTCTCTCCTTCCCTGTTCTTTTCTCCTGTGTGCTCTAATCAGACGCGCCCCTCTCCCTAAGCTGTACCTTCAGTACTGTCCTTTGAAGTGCATCCTTCAGGGTGGGGGTGGGGTACATAGCTGGGATTGGGACTGGCTCTGCAGACCTCTCTCTTGGTTTCCTGGTACATGCTGGTATGTTGTATTCATGTCTTGGCCCACCGGGTTGAAGGCTGTTCTCTCTCTCCCTCTCCTGTGGAGATATAAACAATGCCCTCCCCTTGGATGGGTTAGTACCCTGCTACCCCCCTACCTATGTCTTTTCAATTTTCTTCTCTTTCTTTCCCCTTCCTATTTAGTTGGCTGCCATATGTATCCCTGGATTGGGTTTGGCCCCTGCCACAGTACCTGGACCTCACCCCAGGAATATTTGTATGTAGTAGCTTTTCCCCTATGCCCCTTTTGATTTTCTTGATTTGATATAATTAGAACTAGCTTCCTCTGAAGGAAGAAAGGAAAGAAGAAAGAAGGAGGGAAACAAAAGGAAGAAACGAACGAAGAATAGGTTTGCACATATTAAACCACATCAAGTCAAATGCACTGCATCTTGTTGATTTGAACTAATAACAACCCTATAAAGACAGGGTCAATGGGTTTCTGAAGCTATAACTACTTATGAGATTAGAGAGCCTCATCTTTCTCCAGAGAGAAAAGGTTAATGATTTTGTTATCTGCTGAGCTCTCTGTGTAACAGTTGCAGTTTAGTATTCTAAATGAAGTACTCCCCCACACTGAAAGAATTATATTCCCTACACCGCTCCCACCTTGATTAAACTATACAGTATAGATCGTAGCTGCTACCTGTCCAGACTTAATGATAATTCAAAGTAGATGAGTAAACATTCATCACCTCCTGGCATTTGATTTGGGTCAATCATCCACATATTATTAGTTATATCTTCCAGGTATTATATGCATAATATGCACCATTGCATTTCATAGAATATGCATTTATACTTTACTATTTTCTGCAAAACAAAACCATCCTCTAGTGAATTGCTCAGAAATTTCCACATCTATGGAAATTGTTGCTAGAGTTTTTGTGTTAACTTGGCTCTGTTAGGTTATATAGAGGTAGATCAGGAATTGCAGCTTGGAGGCACTTTGCACTAATCGCTCAGACTTTCTCTCTTTGGGACTTTCTGTCTAGCCTACCTAATTCCAGGTCTTTATCCATGGGTCTTCTAGAAATAATGGAGCTGATTAAAGATCCAAAGCATGAAGTTCCTTTCTCAATAGGCAGTGTTGTGTTGAAAAGGAGAGACAGTAAGGCAGCCACCAGGAGAACAACCTGAATTACCATAAATTGGAGAATTTCTAGAGTAGAGGATCTCCAGGTACAGTGGCATAATCCTCTGGAGAAAAGTGCAATTGGGAAAGTCAGTAGTCAGGGGCTGTCCTCTAATGTTCTCTCTTCATCGGCCTATACTATTTTTGAGTTTCAGGAGAGTACTGTTAATTAGAAGGAGGCTCTAGCAGGTAGGAAGTCGGTGACTACACTCATAGGAGTCAATGCTGAGAGACACGCCAGCCACCTCTGCAGACCTGCCTCTCTCAATGTGGTGTGACCTGTAAAATGACACTTGCTCCAAGTCGGGAGTGATGGGACTCAGCTCTCATGGACTTCTCAAAGTGTCCCACTCAGCCTAACATCAGGAAGTGGCTTCTCGATACTTGTTTAGAAGTAATGATAATCCCATAACAGCAATAATAATAGCACCTTGATTTGACATGTAGAACTTTTGAAATGTAGGACTGACATTAAGGTGCTCTGGTGGCGTAGGAAATCCTTGGTGGCATTGTGGATTATGAGTTAGGCTGCTAACAGCAAGGTCAGCAGTTTGAACCAATCAGCCACACTGTGGGAGAAGGATGAGGCAGTCCACTCCTGTAAAAGGTCTTGGTCAGTCTCTGGGGGTATTTATACTCTATCTTACAGGGTTGCTATGAATCAGAATCCACTGAATGGCAGGGGGTTTAAGGGGCAAAATAAATTATTCTGAAGGCCATGAAAACACGACCGAAGAACTGTTTCTTATGGTCAATATGTTGCTATTGTTAGCCAGTTCTGGTGGCAGTGACACAGTGCATGATAGAAGCACACGCTGTCAGTCCTCACAGTTGTTACAGCAGAGCTCATTGTTGTAGGCCCTGTGTCAACCCAGCCTGTCAAAGGTCTTCTGCTGTTTTGCTGACCCTCTGCTTTACCAGGAAAGATCTCTTTTTCCAGG